GAACTGTGGACAGGAAGGAAACCTGGTTTAAGGCACCTTCATGTTTGGGGATGCCCAGCGGAGATATGCATTTATAATCCACATGAAAAGAAACTGGACTCAAGAACAACTAGTGGGTTTTTCATTGGTTATCCAGATAAATCTAAAGGGTATAGATTTTACTGTCCTAGCCATACTACTAGAATTGTTGAGACTGGAAATGCCAAGTTCATTGAGAATAATAACATAAGTGGGAGTGTTGAACCACGAAAAGTGGGACTTAAAGAAGTTACAGTGCAAGATTCTCTGATATCTTCTTCTCAAATTGTTGTTCCTGTGCGAAAAATTACTCTACCTAGAGTTACTAAAATTGCTCATCCTGCAACGGTTGAACAATTTAGTCACTTGCCTGAACAACAAATTAATGATCAAGAGATTAATGATCAACCACTCCATGATGAAGTTAACAATGAACCCACAAATGATATTCCTACAGAAGTAGCATTAAGAAGATCTCAAAGACAAAGGAGATCTGCTATATCTGATGATTATGTGGTTTATCTTCAAGAATCAGATTTTGACATTGGTATTGATGAAGATCCAGTTTCATTTTCACATGCTATAAATAGTCCTAATTCTTCTAAATGGGTCGAAGCCATGAAAGATGAGTTAAAATCAATGGAACATAATGAAGTATGGGATCTTGTTGAATTGCCTAAAGGTTGTAAGCCAGTTGGCTGCAAATGGGTTTTTAAGACCAAACATGACTCAAATGGCAATGTCGAACGATACAAGGCCAGACTTGTTGCCAAAGGTTTTACTCAAAAGGATGGTATTGATTTTAATGAAACATTTTCACCTGTTTCGAAAAAAGATTCATTTCGAATAATTATGGCATTAGTAGCTCATTATGACTTAGAGCTACAATAGATGGATGTGAAAACCGCCTTTCTGAATGGAAATTTGGAAGAAGAAATTTACATGAACCAACCTGAGGGTTTTTCAATTGAAGGAAAGGAACACATGGTGTGTAAACTTAACAGATCGATATATGGCCTTAGACAAGCTTCCCGACAATGGTATCTTAAGTTTAATGATACTGTAACGACCTTTGGATTTAAAGAAAACACCGTTGATCAGTGTATATATCTAAAGGTTAGTGGGAGCAAGTTTATATTTTTGATTCTGTATGTCGATGACATTTTGCTTGCTACTAATGATCTTGGTTTAATGCATGAGACCAAGCAATTTCTTTCTAAGCACTTTGAAATGAAAGATATGGGTGAGGCATCCTTTGTGATTGGAATTGAAATATTTCGTAATAGATCACAAGGAGTGTTAGGATTGTCTCAGAGAACATATATTAACAAAGTCTTAGAAAGATTTAGAATGGAAAAATGCTCTGCATCAATTGCTCCAATTCAGAAGGGAGATAAGTTCAGCCTTATGCAATGCCCTAAAAATGAATTGGAGCGTAAAGAAATGGAAAATATTCCTTATGCATCTGTCGTTGGGAGTTTGATGTATGCTCAAACATGTACCCGACCAGACATTAGCTTTGCTGTTGGGATGCTTGGTCGTTATCAAAGTAATCCTGGTATGGATCACTGGAAGGCTGCAAAGAAGGTATTAAGGTACTTGCAAGGTACAAAGGGGCACATGCTCACTTATAAGCGATCTGATCACCTTGAGGTGATAGGATACACAGATTCAGATTTTGCTGGGTGTTTGGACACAAGGAAGTCCACATTTGGTTATCTATTCCTTTTAGCCGAGGGAGCTATTTCTTGGAAAAGTGCGAAGCAGACTGTCATTGCTGCATCCACTATGGAAGCTGAGTTTGTGGCGTGTTTTATGGCCACAAATCATGGATTATGGCTGCGAGATTTTATTTCAGGACTTGGAATTGTCGACAGTATTGCCAAGCCGCTGAAAATTTATTGTGATAATGTCGCAGCAGTCTTCTTTTCTAAAAACGACAAGTATACTAGTGGTGCTAAACATATTGATCTGAAGTATCTTGCCGTTAAAGAAGATGTTCGGGAACGAAGGGTATCAATTGAACAAGTAAGCACTAGATTAATGATTGCAGACCCATTAACTAAAGCATTGCCACCGAAGGCATTTCGTGAGCATGTTGAAAGAATGGGCGTTATTGAAAGCGGTTAACGTTATGTTAAGGTTGTGTTTTGAAATATTTGATACACAGAGCTCAATATAGTTTCGTTTCTGTATTAAAGTATCCTGTTTAGTTTATGAAGTATATATACATGAATGTTTTATTATGTTAATATAAACAGGATTTGTCTTTGACAAAGACATTATCGTGGACCATTATGAAAAGTTCATTATGAATCATATTGAGTTTGAAATTAGTATTGTGATACATGGAAGGGACTGCGTTAAATAAGTGACGTATTACCGCCATGATTCTTATTAATTTCTAACTTAACGATGACTTATGTTATGACCAATATAACAAAGGAATTAATTTATACTATGCATATTATGTTTCAAGTTCATTATTAAATTTATGACTTATGAGCCAAGTGGGAGAATGTTAGAATAATTATTATTATTATTATTCTATGGTTCAATATGTTTTATTGTGACTCATAATTAAATATCTATTTATGATTTAATAATGAGATAATCCCCTGATTGGTCAGTTAAGAAGATAAGATTGCAGTTTCAACTGCATATCATCAGGTTTACGTTGATGGAACGTATTATTATTTATATTTCATTCTGAGACTCTGGTCCTCTCCCCAACCTCTGTAAAAAACTAAAAAACTCTCTCCATCAGAGAATTAGATTAAGTGAATGTTAAAGGTCTGAAGGGAGAAACCAAGTTTCTAACTGAAGCAACTACGGGAAAACAATGGAGCCAGGTATGTTCCCAGAATGCTATTTAAATACAGTATGTGAAAGGCATGTGTTCTGAAGATCTTATGTTTTAGGATTAACTTACAGTGATGACTTCTTTAGCTATTTTTCCTTTTATTCATTTATCTTTAAGATTTTCATAGTTGGAAAGAGTTGGATCCCAACTTTTATTTTCTTTCTTCTTCTTCTCTCAAAAGGTTGAATCCCCAATCCAATAGCCCCTCACACTCCGGTCCGATCCGACAAAATATATTAGGAGGATGTAAATCATGGTGACTCAATAGCTCACCAGGAGCCAAATGTCGGTATGCACAAAGAATCTACCCACTTTAAACGTAATCCTTACACTACTGCTACAATGTTCAAACCTTGGTCTCTCCTCCTAAATATTTTCTACCTGAACCAATGAACTTGTATTCTATTTCTTCATAATGTACAAGGCCGTGTAAACTAGCCACCTCTTTGTGATATGTAAATTACCGTGATGACTTTTTGTACATGATTAGTTAATTAATTGACAGTAATTTTATGCGATATGATACGATGGTTTTTATTTTTATTTTAAGTTTTTTAAAATAATTTTAGCTTCCGTTGAGAAATAAGTATTTTAGTTACCACATTTAAAATAATTAATGAAATAGTGTTTTACCCATGCAATGCAGGGAAAAAAAATATATTATTATGGATTTAAATAAAAAATTATAAAAATAAAGAGATGCTAATAAAATGTACAATATAATAGAATAGTTGGACTACCACATATTTGGTCGAAGTATATATTTAAAATTTCCAAATACTCTGTCGGGTCGGGGTATGGAAGGCTCTTAAGGTTGGGGATTCAGCCTTTTGGGAGAAGTATATATTTAAAATAAGTAATAAACTAATATTTTACCCATGCGACGCATAAAATATATTATTATGAATTTAAATAAAAAATTATAAAAATGAAAAGATGCTAATAAAATGTACAATATATAATAGTATAGTTGAACTATCATATATTTGGTCAAGTATCTATTTTCATATATATGGTAGTCCAACTATACTATTATTAATGATGATGTATATAACATTCTAATACTCACAGTACAAGGGTTATGACCGTTATGTAATATAATCTAAATTAAATGACCTCTAAATTTTGATAAAATAGTACTTGCTTAACTCTTATTTCAAATGTATATATTATATGAAAATAGTTAAGAATTTTCATATTCGTCGAGGTGAATTGGTTAACCATATTAAAAATATCTCTTCATCTCATTTTATATGAAGCGTCAACAAGATTTGGTTAAAATTATTTACAATTTAATTTTTAAAAAATATTAATTTGGGAATAGTTAATACAATTTATATATTTAAAAATTACATTAACATTTTTATTAAAAACAAAAAAAAATGTAAATTTAAAAATTATAATTAAAAAAAATGTGAATAATGATTTCACTAACAAATGGTGGATATATCATATAAAATGAGAAAAGAGGAGTATCAAATTGTATCATTTGAGAAAATTTTTAATATTAATATTTCATTGAGTAGTTTAAAATGAAACTTTTTAGAAAATCAACATAAAGAATGGTTAAAGTTATAAGAAAAAATTTAATGCACCGTCAGTATGTGCGCAAATGCAAATCATATTCATATATAGATATGATCATATGAATGATATCACATTAATAAATTTATTTATATGAATGTATATAAAGTACAATTAAACAAATTATTGGAGTCCCTCGTGGCTTAGTATAGTTGGTTCGTTGTCGGATTTATAAAAGATCATAAATGGAGGCGGCAAGTTTGAATTGGATCTTTTGTGCGCATATGAAGACTATGATCTGAACGGTAGGCTAATTGCGCGATTTATCTCCGCAGAAACTTTAGGGGCGGGATTTCACGAGCTTAGGATTAGTCCGGCAAAACTGGATCACCTAAGTTTTTTATTTAAAAAAATATTATTGGAGTATGGGACACTACTTGCTCCCTGATATATTTTATGCAGAAAAAGAAGGGCTCCAACTGACCATTGTATTGGTTAGTAGTACGTAAAATAATTTTATAGTGCGGGTGGTTAAAACCAAGCATTATACGACGCTACAACATACATTGATCCCATCGCCGGCCCAAACAAGAAATCGAAACCTTAACATCGAAGGAAGAAAGACACAAATGATATAAAGATTGGATTTGAAGAAATTTATTGTTTATTAGTACCCAGAAGGGACTGTGCAGGCAGATCAGAGTAGAAAAAAAAAATGTGCTTTAACTTGGCATACAAAATCAAGAATGGAAAGATTGTGTTGAAGAAATTCAAGAATGAAGATGAGGATGATGATAATAAGGCATTACTAGCAAAGGAGATTGAGAGATGGAAGAAGCAGCAGCAGAACATAGCCAAGGGTGATGATGACAAGGCAATCACCAAGTAAGACCCTTTGGATTTATTAGCTATTAACATTGCTTGTAATAAAGACGAACCCATGGCAGCAAAAGGCTGAAATTTACTATATCTATTTTTGTTTTTTTTTTTTTTTATTTAGAAAATTTACAATAGACTATGTATACTTGTTCTGGAACTGGAATTGCATAAAATGATGCAATTACAGTTCTGGGATATGGAATGTTACACTAAAAAAATATAAAAAGAATGATGATGGGGGACTATGAAGGTTATGTTAGGAGGCTCAGAATTTAGCTGACACTTTCTTTCTGCAAGTAGCCTAAAAGTTGATCATCAAGAAGCTAAGTGGATATGATTATGAGGATGAATGGAGTTGAATGAAATGTGCCCTTTGCCTCCTAGTGTAAGGAACAGCTCTGTGATATCCAAGGGAAGTTGTTGTTGTTGTTGTTGCTGCTGATTTTCTACTTGCTTCTTCGTCTTCTCTGCATCTCAACTTTCCTTTACAGCTTCTTGTTGTAACTGATGATGAACAAGTATGCCATTTTTCTTTCAATGAATTCTGAGTGAAATTCAAGAAATCAGACATCTCCATAATCCATACTTTTACACCATTACATAATTAATCTCGCTTTCTGTGCACATACTAGTGACAATAAATATCAATGTTGCATAAGGGACGCTGCTTAGGTGGCTGAATAATCCAAGTATTTAGGTTGTCATAATTCCAAAACTAATCAAATACATATATTTGATAGTTAGTTGAGTACATGACTGAAGAAATATAGAAGAGGTTCAACTGAGCAGGCAAAAGAAAACCACTCTGCCGAGTTGGGCGCCCAACCTAGGACGACTAATCGACCGACCAACTAAAAGCTGCTTATGACTGAAATTGCCTCAGCCTAGAGACGACTAGCGCTTAGGCGGCCGCCTAAGCCGATTTTTACAATATTGATATATATAATTACTATACAAACTCACTACTAATTTAAATTTTTAGTTAAAACGGAATGTTTCTATCAATTCATCATACCATTGCAGTTCTGCTTCTCGTCATAATGTTAGGCGCCCCACGGCATTCGTTATTCACCATACCCAGGAGGCTCGACTCCTAGTAGTTATAATATTACGAGATGTATCAGTCCATACACTTATCAATGGAATGATCAAATAAAATGAAGGTTAATGAATATTATTCAATTAATTACCAGAAACATTACTGTTGCGCAATGCTTGAGGACCTCCATATTCATGCGAACGTCATCCAAACTCCTAGAAATAATCAGTCATAGTTTAAACAAATGTTAGCGTTAAATCTTCCTTTGATCCAATAAATTATGTTTCCATTGTCATTTAGATTTTCTCTAACCTGTGTTTCTGCTGTCCAAGTCCAAAGTATTCTGCTAAACTTGCCATCTAAATGTCAATACCACACTTATCAAAGAGATTATTATTTATGTATATAATAAAAGCAAATACCAATTTTGGTCCCTGGAGTATTACCAAAATGATAGTTTTAGTTCACATGTTTAATTTTCATCTATGACTATTGTTTTCGTACCAAAATCGATCAAGCTGATCACTCTTCCGTTTAAAACATGCGGGATTATGTAATTTGTAAGAGTATTTTCATCCGTTCATGTATAATATGTCGATTCCATTAATATATGAATAGACAAAAATATGCTTATAAATTACAAATTCGGACATGTTTTAATGGGAGACCCAAAATTATCATTTTGCTAATAGTGGATCAGAATTGGCATTTGCTGTAATAAAGTCTAGGCTTTCTGGATAAGAATATAGTATACACAATATACCTTCATATTGCCAGCTCTTCTGCCAAATTTCTGTGTTAAAATGCCCAAAGAATCGATGGTTCCGACAGGCAGCGGCGCAGGGCGGCCGACGGCAGCAAAGGCCTCCTTAATACGAACACAGTCGAATCTTTGAATGTTATGTCCTGCCCATATCCTACCATCCATAATGTCGAATATCTTATCCGCAACTTCCTCAAAATGGGGCGCATTAGCTACCGCTCCGCGTGTTATTCCGCCGGACCGCCCTGATCTTACCGCCACGGCCGACAAGTCCCTCGGCCTGATCAGGGTGCAGTAGCTCTCCAGCTCTGCCAGCCTTCGCGGGCAGACCACAATTGCGCCGAATTCTAGAACCCAAAACCTTTGTCCTGCCTTCTTGGGAACCGTCGTTTCCAAGTCGAAAAACACCATCTGTGATGCCCTTTCGTTGCTCGCCGCCATTCTTTTGGTTTCGCCTAGACTAGAGTTTTGGGTTTAAATTATAAAGCCGTCGTGGAAGAATACGATTGAAACGATGGCTGGGTTGGTTTACTATATATAAAGAGAAGACAAGAATAATGAATTCATGGGATGACGATGGTGAATAAGAATATTCTTTCATGCGTTAGGGAGATTGATTGTCTTGTAATTCAAGTCTTTCTAGTTTTGGTGTTCGGATCAAGTTGTCCCTAGCCTGTTTTCTACTTGTTCATAGCTCTGTTTGCCAAAATTGTAAAATTCAGACTTTAGTATAAAAATAACCTTCAGATTCTATACCAAAAATTGATACATTCTGTACTTGCAATAAGATAACTACAGGCAAATAAACTACTATTAACTGCATATATATAATAAATAACTATAGACACATAATATGTTAATTAACTTTTTTGAATTAGGACTCACAATGTACATATATTGTTATCTGCATATATAGAATGTTTTAACTACAAATACAAAATTTTTTAATCGGAACTCATAAAAAATATGAACCTTGATCCATTGTTATCTGCATGTATTGAATGTTTTGCACTACTTTTGCTGCGCTTGTTTTAATGTAATCCGTCTTTCTTTATCTTCACTCTTTTGAGGCCAGGGGTGTTCCAAGTTTTTGGTGAAACTTTTCGCAAACAGCTATTGGAACAATCCAATCCAAGTAACCGTATTGCATGTTCTCTTTTCTCTTACGTCCCTTAATTAATTAATATATAGTAACCCCCAATAGTGGGGCACGCATGCTAACATGGCGACACGCCACACGCAAAATCATATTTTGACCTGTCAAAGATGATGCAAGCTTGGCCCCGTTGTTTTACTCTTTGAAGTCATCCAAAATTACCAGCAGGAATAGGCATATTCTTAAAAATAATGGACAAAAATAAACTTTTAAAATTTGAACAAATATAGGCAAAATTCAATTGGAAATTGTGATTTTGGTGTTCACCAGATCACAAATTAAATATGTGTGATGGTGATATGGACCAGGGAGGCCCGTTTTATTGAGAGAGTCAGTCTAACCACCCAAACGGGTGTCCATCTTTATGGGTAATGTGTTGGCCCAACAAGAATAATGGAATTCTATCGGTACCTCAAGCATAACAACACAAGTCCCAAACCACCAAGCCAATCAAGATCTTATGTATTAAAAGGTAGGAAGCTCCACTTATGCATGGGAGTGTCAAGATCTTGTGCATTAAAGGGTAGAAAGCTCCACTCATGTATAGGAGTGCGCTGGAAGCAAGGTAGGGGGGACACGTGTGTGGTCCAGAATGAAGGCTGTCAAATGCCGTCCATTTGTCAACCATCTGTGAATCTTTCAACAGTATAAATAGGTATCCTTCCCTCCCTTTTAAAGGCACCTCTTAGCTCACTAAACCCCCCTCAGTCCATTGGTTTGAGTGTTCAACCCCTACTAGCACACTAGGGTTCGAGTCTTATAGGTAACATATTTAGTTTTATTTCACTTATTAATTCCGGATCGTTATGTTGTGCATCGGTATGCACCATGCATGGTGCATACAGATGCAAAAACGACGTCGTTTTATTAAAAACACATATCCCACTTTAAAAAAAAAAAAAAATCAGTTTCGATTCTAGAATTTTAGTTCATAGATTCTGGAATTTTAGTTCATAGATTCTGAAATTTTAGTTCATTGATTATGGATATTTAGACGTGAATCGAAACTAATTTTTTTTTTCATTCATATATGCTGGATATTTAGTTCATTCATTATGGATATTTAGTTCATTCATTATGGATATTTAGTTCATTCATTATGGATTTTTAGTTCATTCACTCTGGATTTTTAGTTCATAGATTCTGGAATTTTAGTTCATAAATTTTGGAATTTTAGTTCATAAATTTTGGAATTTTAGTTCATCGATTCTGGAATTTTAGTTCAAATTATGTACAATATAATGTTGTTGTTGGGAATCGAAACTAAATTTTTTCTTTTAAGTGAGACGCGCCTTTTTAATAAAACGACGTCGTTTTTGCATCTATGCACCATGCATGATGCATACGGATGCACAGTATAATTTGCCATTAATTCCCTTAGCTCGTTTAGTTATTATTTTTGGCCTTATTCCATTCCTTGGCCCGCGTTCTTTGTATTTGGGCCGTTATTCTGGGCTTGTACGTACTATTTTGGGCTTAGCGCCCCGGGTAATAAAGTTATTCTTTACCTCCCCGTTCTATATTTCTATACCCGATTTATGGTGGACGCGGTCCCAATAAAACCAACAAAATGTGTATAACCGATTAAGAATTTATTATATTAATAAATATAATATGCATTAAGAAAGTCTTCCCAGCAGATCTTTATCAGAAGAAGATCCTTCACTAAAAGAAAGTCTTATGAGAATATATTATGATATCTCATTCAATTCCTTTTTTTCGATCAATTCGTTTTGACAGGATCCTTCCAGGGAAAGGAACTTCTTCCAAAATTTAAAAGTTCATCAGAAGGATTTTTCATCATTTTTTAATCATTCGAATCATAAAATTCCTACCAATCATAAATACTATTTTCGACTTCATACCACCAAAATATTATTTATACTTCTGGTAAACATATCTGAATTAATATATTCAACCATTTACTATATATATAAATATTGAGTTAATACCCAAAATGGTCCATCGACTATACCATAATTACCAATTTGGTCCTCAACTACCATTCTTATCCAATTAAGTCCTCAACTATGTAACTTTTACTCAATTAAGTCCTCAACTATACAATTCTTACCCAATTTAGTCCTCAACTATACAATTCTTACCCAATTGGTAATTACGACATAGTTGAGGGACTATTTTGGGTATTAACTCATAAATATTCAACACAAACACATACGGTATGTGTTTGAACCCATTTTTTAGTACTCCCTCTGTCCCGAATTATGTGTCCTATTTACTTTTGGCACATATTTTAAGGCAGTGAAAAAAAAACTCTCACTTTACATTTTTACCCTCAAACACCCTGACAACTTTGCACTTTCCCATCTCATCTATTCATTTCTTCATCTTTCTTCAGTAAAAAATTTCTTTATCTAATCTCTATATTTCTTCAATAAACAATTTCTTTATATTCATATAAAATATTGGTACTACTCTATATACAAGAATAAACAAACTGGGAACTGTAGAGGTTCGTGAGCCATGGCAGTGGAGGAATCTCTTCGCATTCAAACATTCAAAGAAGTTCCGTCTGCGGAAGAATTTGCCTCCTGTATTGAACCGAAGACCGTCCTAGCTGTATCGTCTCCTACTTAGAACTTAATTTACTGCACTATCTTTACAAATCCGAAAATGAACTTGCTTATATTTTTATTTTGGGAAAAAGGTTAAAAAAAAACATACAAACTAGGAACTGGGAAAAAAATATGAAAAATAGAAAGGGAGATGGAGTGTTTGCAACTCAGTAAGGAAGAAAGAAAAAAAAATAAGGAGAGAGGGGGTGAGAATAATGAAGAAAAGATAAGAAGATTAAAAATGGGTAACTCAGTAAGAAGAAGAAAGAAAAAAATAGAGAGAGAGGGAGTGAGAATAATGAAGAAAAGATAAGAAGATTAAAATGGGTAAAAGAAATAGGGGATGAAGATGGGAGGAAGGTAAACATAGCACTTCGTGATTCGTGAACATCTCTCTATGTAATTTGATAGTAAAGCCCACTAATAAATACTTGTAAAGGGCAAAGTGGGAAAAGTAGAAATATAATAATGTATATTTTTGGAAAGTGGACAATATTTTGGGACAGATTAAAAAGAAAAGTAAGACAGATAAAATGAGACAGAGGGAGTATCATTCAGACTAACGGATTAGTCAATTAATGTGCATGACGTGGGAGTTTAAATGCATATAAGATATGCATGGTGTAGCATACATATAATGTGAGTGTACGGGTGTACAATGTTATCTATGGGGCCGAAGATTAGAGATTATGAGACGTAATATACAATAACAAGTAACTAGTCACTAGCCTTGAGAAATTAACAAAAAGCTAAGCAAGCATAATATAAACAAGATATAACAAACACATAAACAAGAGATAATACAAAATTAAATAAAAGAAAAGCTAGAGAGAAAAATCTAGTAGATGCAAGCGAACTTATAGGATTATGAGAGAACACATAACCAAGGAAATGAGGAAATGCACATAGGAATTCTTGTCTAAAAATCATTCTCATGATCATTTAAACAAGAATTAGGACTAGGAATTGCTCACTCTCATGACGTATCAATTTCAAGTCATTCAACTACAACAAATATCTAAATCCCCATATTCCCCATATTTTCATAGTGGGAAATAGAGATTATGCAAGGGATTACTTCGAATTTTGACCCAACTCTCATTGTGACCAAGAATATAATCCTCTAAAAACATGCTAATGAACGTGACCAATAAAATATTGACAATAATCTAGCACAATTCCTTCATAATCTCACGAACCCTAACTTAGGCATTTCCACCCATTGTGCAATAATCACAAATAAAGCATCTAAATAGATAATACAACCCTAACCCAAGCCTCAAAACTAATTACTCGCACATATTAAGCTTTGCAATATCTCGCGATCACACGTACAGATCTTTCCTATGTTGTTAATCGCCTTTGTCAGTTCATGCACGCACCCACAACGGATCATTGGGGTCTATTGAAGCGGGTTTTACGCTATGTCAAGGGAACCTTGGATTATGGGTTGCGATTGTCTGCGTCTACCTCCTCCGCCATTCATGAGTTTTCAGACTCTGATTGGGCCGGTTGTCCCGTGGATAGGAAGAGTACTAGTGGGTATGCCGTATTCTTGGGCTCCAATCTTATTTCATGGCTCTCCAGGAAACAACGCACGGTCGCCCGCTCTTCGACTGAAGCCGAGTATAAAGCCTTAGCTGATGTCTTTGCCGAGGTCACATGGATCGTGTCACTTCTCCGTGAACCGGGGTTGCACTCTGGGGATCCTGCCACCCTATGGTGTGACAACTTAGGTGCTACTTACCTTTGTGCGAATCCTATTTTTCACGCCCGGACGAAGCAT